GAAAAATTGAGGGCGAACTCGCTCGATGATGATGAGAAGAGAGAGAGAAAGGAGGAGGAGCAGAAATGAGAGAGCGCTGTTGTGCTGAGGGTTTCGTGGGGTGTGCTTGTCGTTGATGAGTCAAACAGCAACGGATGCAATGCAAAGATACAGAAGCAAGCCGTGGTGGGAAAGCGCTGTGTGCGCGTCGTAAGCGTTCGGGCAGATTGCAGAGTTGGACGAATATTGATGAATGTTTTACACAAAAGGGCGTTTGTTGACGAAATGTTGATTTTTTGTGATTTGTCGTGTCGCAGCCAGCCGTCTTGGGCGGACGATTGTGACAATTGTGATAGTGCCCGACACACGAAATGGTAGGGTTTTATTTTTCTCGTTTGTGGTTGGATTTGAGTCGTTTGAAAGCTGACCGGCAGCACCACGTCGGCCTTGCACATGCATCTGCGCTGGTTTGGGGTGCAAGGGTGACGCACACGCCCCAAGCGACCGCTGTCAAGTTGCATCTTTCGTGCAAATCGTCGGCAAAATAAAAATTTTCAACCACCATCACCGACGATGGACACGGACGATGATGAGTTTGTGCCTGATTCCGAGGTGGTGAGCGACGACGATGAAGGCGAGCTGCCACCAACTCACCAAAGCGGGCACGACAAGACATGCCCAAGCCGGTAACCAAGAAGCACGTGACTCCTCAGGAGATCGTGGAGATATGTGCGTGCCTGAGGAACATGAGGGGTCAGGGAACCCTGACAGAGAAGGAAACGCTTCTGGTTTTGCATGTGTACATGCAGTTGAAATTGGCACACTTGGAGAACCGGAGGAAGTCCAAGGGCAAGCGCTCGAATGGCCAGGTCGATGAACGTGCTGCTAAGCAGTTGGGGTATGTTGACACTCTTTTGTTAGTGTGCAAGCTGACGTGTTTGCATGTGTCAACTGTGACATGATTCATTCGCATGGCCGACCTCACTTCACTCTTTTACCTCGGTCTGGAACAACACAGGGTTGGCCTCAGCACTGTGCGTCGGAAGTATGCAATGCTCAACAAGCTGTTGCAAGAGCACGGCATAGATGTGAGTTGAGGAGATGTACCTGCTGTGGTCAACTCATACACCAGCGTGCTGTTTGTCTTAGATCTGTTCATGTTGGCTCATATTCCATGTGCTTCGTGTCTGCAGGGCCTTAAGACACTTTCTGTTGAGAACCGCCGTGGGAAGGCGACACAGCTGCCGACACGTGTGCCCACGACAAAACGTGTGCTCAGGCAGGTTCGCGATCACGTGCGCATGCAGAGAGAAGGTGGACACCGCATCACGGCCGTACAGGTGCTTGACTTCCTACGCAAGCACAGGCATGTGGACGTACGACCTTCGTTTGCTGGCGATGGTGACGACGAACTGGACAGGGCGGCGGCTCTGCGGGCAGTGCAGCGGTTTCTTCGTCGTGCGGGCTACCTTCGCGGCAACAAGCACGTTGTTCAAGAGAACCCGAGGCACAAGCAGCTGCTGGCGAAGTATCTGAAGGAGTTTGATGCAAACAGGAGGTTGCCACCTGACGAGCGCCTCAGAGACCTGACGAGCGCCTCAGAGAGGTGTGTGTGTGTGTGTGTGTGTGTGTGTGTGTGTGCCCATGCTGCTGTGTTGTCGATGTTTCTTCGCATGTGCAATGTTCCCTTTTCGTGTCTCACGTGGCTCAATTGCCTGTAGGTGTATCTCGATGAATCATACATTGACAGGAACTACAACAGGAACAGAGACTCCCTGTATGACCCCAACGACGGTCAAGACATGCACAGTCATCGCAAGATCAAGCGGGGTCGGCGCTACTGCTTTGCCCTCGCAGTTCAGGGCCCGGATCCGCGCGTGTGCACCGTCAGTGACCGCAACGACCGCGCCCTCGCCGGTCCTGTTCCAGGCACGAGCTGGATCTTCGACCCTGGCAGCGCACTGCAGCGTGAGCGGCGACAACAACGACAACAACAACAACAACAACAACAACAACAACAACAACAACAACAACAACAACAACAACAACAACAACAACAACAACAACAACAACAACAACAACAACAGCAGCAGCAGCAGCAGCAGCAGCAGCAGCAGCAGCAGCAGCAGCAG